AATATGCATTTATTATTTTTTGTTAAAAGGTGAACTTATCCTTAAAACGGAAGCTGCTATTGGTAGAGCCTTTCCAAAATAATAGGTGTCCTGTAGGTGCATACCTCCGCATCATGAGGCCCCATAGCACAATGTTAATGGCTGCCCCCTAGTGATCTCCCTGCTGTCACTGATCTTAATATCAAATATATCTATACTGCAGGGAGGTAGTAGAAGATCTGCCAACATATGCAGTACACTACTAGGGACCAGAACTGTAAATGGCAGTTGACAGAGAAGGAGGGGGGCATCAGTTCATGGAATAACTTTTACCCTTCATTTTCAATTATACTCTGTACAAAGCTCAACATGTTTGTATAGCACAGTGGTTCTCAACCTTCCTAATGCCGTGACCCTTTAATACAGTTCCTCATGTTGTGGTGACCCCCAACCATAAAATTATTTACCCAGTAATTATAATTCCTGAAGTGTCGTTTTACCTCCAATACTGCTGCTTTCAACACAGTAGCTGCTTTCTACACAGTAGCTGCTTTCAACACAGTAGCTGCTTTCTAGACCGTAGCTGCTCATTACACATCGGAAATATGTGTTTTCCCGATTGTCTTAGGCGACCCCTGTGAAAGGGTCATTCGACCCCCAAAGGGGTCGCGACCCACAGGTTGAGAACCACTGGTATAGCACCTCAGATCTTAGTGTAAGTTTTAAGTTCTCCAACCCCTCGCATCTTCACAGGAAGAAAGTGCCAAAAAGAGCTGTGTCAGCAGGTCTTCCAGAATGTTACTTGTGTTTTTCTTTCATGTTATGTGCTCTGGGTTTTATTATTTTGACTATATTGGTGTGTATTTGTTACAATTGAGGTTGCTTGCCCTTTTATCCTTGGTTGACCTGCTCAACTGGTTGATTTTGAGAAAGAAGCGTTAACACTGCTAGTAATGTTGTACTGCTCTTTTCAGGAGCTTACCATCCCCTGCAGGCCATACCAGATAAATAGGGGTTTATTACTGCCACAAGAAGAGGGATTGGGAAGAGAGGGTTATAGATATTCTGCTCATGAAGTAGCCGTTACTCTGTTGCTTTGTGCCCCTATGGAACCCAGTCGGGGTTCCAGGGGCATGGACTCACATGGGTTTATGCTATCCATTGCTGTTCTCTTTGTGGATCACTTGATCTCTTATATGGATTAACTGCCAATTATGGACTCTTGCTTTGCCAATGATCTTTCATGGGCTTTCTCACCTGTATAAGGTATGACTACCTCATGTAAACTCTGTTGTCCTCCTTAACTACTTAAGTAAAAGATCTTCATGGTTCATTAAATCTTCCTGGTCTGTAGTCTGTAAAGGGTGCATGCATGGCATATCAAAAAAACAAGGCTTATTCATCAGGATGAGAGAAATTAGAGAAAATACTGTTCAAAGGTTTAATGAGCAGAGAAGCTGTCCTAGGGAGGCTATATTGCTGTTGCTAAGGACTGCTTGTGTGATTTGCTAAAGCAGCCAACCAGCCAGGAGATGGGTGACTTGACAGAGGTGATGGATGCTAAGGTAGTGAAGGGGTGTTATACTTAGCCCCTTCACTAGCAACTGGTTCCCCACTTACTACAACCAACCTGGTGACAGAGTGCCTAGGGACTAAGTCTGGAGTCACAGAGAAATATTCCCAGAAGGAAAACACGCTTGAGTTAAGAAGTAAAGAGTTTCCTGTATCCAGTAGTAACATATGGATCAGTTACTGGAGTAAGGAGACGGGACTGCTGAGTTGGTGGAGACTGATACAAGCTCTGTGGTACCGGCTCAGAAATGCTGCACACCTGGAATGAGGTGAACTCTAACAGGAGCTGTTTCTCTAGTGAATTAGTGTCAACAGTGTGGAAGTTTGCCCATGGATTACAAAGTGTTAACTGTGCAAGTTCCCCTGCTTACTTCTAAGTCAGAAGTGCCAACTTGATGCTAAATTCACATGACCGCAGTCGCCACCTGCAGTGTAGACATTAGCGAGCTCGAGTGTCCCCACTATGGTGTGTTAAGCCCCACCCACAGGTGGCTTTGTAGTAAGCTAAAAAAAAAGAAAATGAGTTGTAGTAGCAATAATATTTACAATCACAATATTTTTATATTATGACATAACCGTTAGTACTCTTGTGCACAATTACTCTATAGCCATAATTTACTGTAAATGACTGTGGATGAATAACTGGATTTTTTTTCAGAACTACAAACAGCTATCTTGTCAGTTTTAACCTGAAGAGAGGCATACAGGCAGGACCGGTACTTCCACTAGGCAAACTAGGCAGCCGCCTACGGCGCACTGCCACTTAGGGGCACCTGGGACAGCACAGGCCGCCACACTCTCTGTGTGCCGCCATGTCATGAATGATTCTCCAGCTGAGAGGAGGGGCAGCAGAGGGGAGGAAGAAAGGACAGAGAAAGATGCCCGGCATCTGGGGCCAGTGTAGCAGCTGAGCTTCGGCTCCTTCCAGTGTTCCTGTCAGCCCCTTACTGCAAGACTGCTAGTGACTGCTGATCACTGTAGAGTTCCAGCCCTTCTCTTCCCATTCATCACCAAAGGTGGAGCTGCACCCACGGAGGAAGGTAATGTCTGACTCTGATGTCTTGTGTCGGCGTGAGTGTGGCTCAGCCGGCCATCCATCACATGTGCAATGTGTCAGTGAGTGATGACATCATCACGATCCCACAGCCTGCTCTTCTAGTACCTGCTGGGCCTGCTGATCTGTGTCAGTGTTGGTGGTGGTGTGTTGTGTCAGGTCCGTCACTGTGTGGGATCGCTCAGTTCAGGGTGTTCTCTCTGTGTGTGTAGGCTGGGCTGCCTGCTGTCACAACATTTTATCTCCCCCCTTTGCCTGGAGAATTCCTGCCTGGGATCTGTCAGAGTATTAATCCATCATCCTCCACTCACTGCAACTGTCACCCTGCCACTGCCAGCTACAGATACAGTCCGTCTTTGACACTGATTTTGTCTGTAATATTGGTGCTGGTGGCATCTTATGGCACTTATTTTTGCAAATTAAAAGAAATTTAGCAGTTTCACGTTTTTTTTTATTTAATATTTTCTACTGTTTTTAAAATATGTTATTTATTTATCTTTTTTTTGGGGGGGGGTGCAAGTAGCTGGTCTTGCCTGGGGCGCAAAATAGTCTAGCACCAGCCAGCTCTGAGGACAATACATCTCCACTGCTTAGACAGCAAAACTATCTCTTCACTGCACAGCCTGCAAAGGGGATCTGTGACTAGTGACCATAATTCTGAAGTTTGTGCATATGACATCAGATGTCTTTGATTGAAAATATCATAGGGGGTACAGAGTTAGTCTCAACAGCAGCTTATGCACTCGTTAATGATACAATCCTGGATTTGAGTTCTTTCCACATGCACACAGATTTTCTAAGTTTAATTTGCATCATAATCCCCCCTAATGGGACCCTCTTTCATCCACAGGCTCCACAGCAGCTGAGCAGGATGCAATGGCTATTGTTACAACACTGGTGCCTGGGTGTTTCTGACTTCACAGAAATGAAAAAGGATGCCAATGAGCAAGTCAGAGTTAAGAATTCCCGTAGGGGCATAGGAAGAATATAGATTAAAAAAAAAAAAACATAAGCATGCTATTGGGGAGGAAGTAAGGGCAGAAGAGGTAACACACTTTACCCACCCCTCCAGTGAACACTTTTCAATTAAGGATTGTTTATTAACTTTCTTGCAATAAAAAAAGAGAAAAAGACTCTTGGGCTAACTGTGAATAATTCAATTTAGCTACAAGACTGGAAATTTATTGATATATTTAGCTAGTGATGATTAAAGCTGTGGCTATGGAAAAAAGTTCTGCTAGGTTGCCTAAAGAGCCTCCTGCCACTGCACATACTAACTTCTATATCCAGCATTATTCAAGTGGGTTTTATTTATGTTGTGTCCCAGTAGAGATCATTATATCCTTTTATAGGGCTTTAAATAGCTGCTGAAAAAAAACAAACACTCCAGCACTCAGACAGAGGTCCTTCTCATGATATTTTGGAAAGTAATGCTTCATCTGGTGCAGCCTTCCTCAGATTGGTTAATCTTGAATAAACTGCAAAGATACACACAGGAGGGATCAAACACCTAGTGCAGGGGTGGCCAACCTGCGACTCTCCAGCTGCTGCAGGACTACAAGTTCCATCATGCCTCTGCAAGTCAGTAACTTCCCATCTTTGCAATGCCTCATGGGAAATGTAGTTCCACAACAGCTGGAGAGCCACAGGTTAGCCACCCCTGACCTAGTGCATTACCACCATAGACATGTATTTAATCCCAAAAACAAATGCGTCATCTAACCATCTACTATACCACGTGGTTGGAAGGCTGACACGTTTTGGGGGACAAGACCCCCTTCCTCAGCGCTAAACAGTGGTTACTGGCAAAGATCAAACAATGCTCTTTTGTTTAGGGCCCTTTAATAAAAGGCTTAACAAAATTGGACTTATATGATATAAAAGAAAAATGGCTTGAAAGTCATATAATTACTTGTGTATTAATACAGGCTAGGTTAATATTAAGGTTGTGCCCTTTGCAAAGGCAGTTGCACTTATTTTTCCCAGGGCTTAGTGAATGTGATGAAATTCTGCTGATTTCCATTATCCAATCATGCACAAGCAAAAATTCATGTTTTTTTTTTTCCCTTGCACCTGATTGAATATTCTTCACAAAGTGAAGCTTTGCCACAATCACTAAGATCTGGGAAAATGAGTGTAACTGCACTTGCAAACTGCACAGTCTATCTGCTTTGATTGATATAAGTAATGTCCCCTGTGCTGATTTTTTTTTTTACTAAACTTAGGCTTTAAAACATACATAAATGAATGTGGTTATATTTTTTAATTTGCATAATGTATGAATTAAAATAAATTTTAAATGCATCCAGTAAACCTGAACCTGTCCTGATATTAGCCATTTCCAATCATCTGTACAGCAAATACAATTGGGAGAGGGAGGGGTGATATTAATTCCACGATCAGGTGTACTCAGGGGATGGGCTGACAACTCATGGGGCCCCCGGGCAATAGGGGATCATGGGGCCCCTGTGTCCTTGCCCAAACTCAAAAAAGCCTATGAAAAAGGTACCAGGGGCATCTCATGGGGCCCCTTACTGACCCCGGGCCCTCGGGCAGTGCCCGAGTTTCCGAATGGTCAGTCCGCCCCTGGGTGTACTGTATGTAGATGGGCTGAAAAGGAATCTGCTGGTAAGAAGAGAGCAAAGGGATGACTCATCAGTTTCCTGCTACTCCTTTATAAGTTCTGGGGGCAGGAAGGTGACTAGGCTGTTTTGTTTAATTGTCTTACAATTGCAGTGACTGGGGAGTGGACATCCTAATTCTGGTTGGACAACATTACAAATCCTTTGGATGGAAACAGCTACAGGCATATACACATAAATATTTTGTTATTATAATAATAATATTTTGCTGGCATTTAGCTAATATTCCAATAGGTGTAATTTGCTATATACAGTAACTAGGTTTAAGCCAACAGTTCGGTCCCAACCTGGGCCTAGACCAAACTTTGGCTGTTCGGGCGTTCAGACAAAAAAAAACAGAACTTTTTTTTTTCTATTTTTCTTTTTTTATGTTGTTAATTTTCTTTTTTCTTTTTTAATTTATGTGTTTGTTTTAAATGCATGTGTGTTAAGAAAAAAGTCTAAGAATTATTTGAATTAAAAAAAAAAAGAAGAAAACTCCAACTTTAGGCTATTCAGCCCGCTGTTTGCCAGGAGCCATGCATCATATACAGGTGAAACTCCAAAAATTAGAATATTACCTTTTGAGGCTTTCCCTCCTTATGGAGGGTGTCAATGATGGTTTTCTGCACAACTGTCAGGTCAGCAGTCTTTCCCATGATTATGATTCCTACTGAACCAGACTGAGAGACCATTTAAAGTCTCAAGAACCCTTTGCAGGTGTTATGGCTTAATTAGCTGATTAGAGTGGGACACTTTGAGCCGAGAATATTGCACCTTTTCACAATATTCTAATTTTCTGAGATTGTGGATTTGGGGTTTTCATGAGCTGTAAGCCATAATCATCACAATTATGACAAATCACGGCTTGAACTATCTTGCTTTGTATGTAATGAGTCTATCTCATATATTAGTTTCACCTTTTAAGTTGCATTACTGAAATAAATGAACTTTTGCACAATATTCTAATTTTTTGAGTTTTACCTGTATAGAAGCGGTATTTCTACTGCTTCTACATATAATCAGCTTCCCACTTTCACTGGCTCCTAAGGAAGCCGTGGGTGCCACTGTCATCAACCGGGGATTCTTACTCCTTTTAAGCAAAGGGGCAAGAATGGCAGTGACATTACTGCCTGATTATTGCCACATTCATTGCTGACTTATTTAAAAAAAAAAAAAACAGCACCCATGTAAAGGTCCCCAAAAATACATAGCAGATCCCTGGAGTGGTATGTATGTAGTTGTTTTTTTAAACAAAGAAGCTGTCACAGTCATTTGCCAGCAAATGTAATACCTTTTACCTTTATAAATATCAATGCTGCTGCAGCACTTTCTCTACATCAGAGATATATGCCCCATTCACTGGCAGAAGTAGGTCACCCCGCAGGCATGATATTTAAAGGAATTGAACATTTTGAATGCCTCACTTTAAGCATTTAAAAAATGCTCCTGGCAGAATGGATTTTTTTTGCATTGGAACATGTTCCCCAAGGCAGTGCCCACCCCTCACTTGCCATGCCTATTAGCCTAAAAAAAGGGCATTTTTAATTTGACAGATTTGGCTCCCATTGACTCCAATGGGATTTGGCATCCAAAGTTCTTTGATGTTTGCTGAACCCTTCTCGAACCGAACCCAGGGCAGTTCGACTTATCGTCATATATAATCTATGCTATGTAATCATTTAATATACTTCAAATATTATTATAAATATATAATATTATTATGATAATTCAACTCCTGTTAAAACATTATCATATATGGTGATAGTTGGTTATATTGGGAAAACCATTGATCGTAGTTTTCATGCTGGAATTACATAAAGAAAACATGCACCTCCTAGAACCTCTTACAGCAGTGACTAGCAGAGCATGGTAAGTGGGTATACTTACCTAACCTCTTAGAAGAATGACCCCTGACTGAATGAATTCCCTCACACACATTGGATGCATGGACAAGCTCAGATGCACAATGACAAATGTGCTTGTCAGAGGGTTATAGCAACAAACATAGACTGGAGCTTAGATACAAGGCAAAATCATCTTTATTTATAAGAAACACCAGGAAAACAGTGCACCTTGAACCTGCCGATACAGACCTGAGGCTGGACTAATTTAGGTTTCAACTGGCTATTCTTTGCAGCTGTCTGCAATAAGACATGCATATGAAATATTACTAATATTTCAATAAACAGTTCACATTATTCCAGTTGCAATGCAACAAGATCAGTCTAACATTTTTTTTTTAAATAAAACACTCACAGATGTATATCTGAACACATTACAGAAAATAAATTCTTAACTGAGAATGCATTTTTGCAACCTATGGATCTTCAGCTGTTGTGAAAATATGAATCTCAGCACATTCTGACAGTCTCTGACAGCTAGAAGCTATTCACATGCAGTGTATTTGAAGGCTGCAGAAAGGGTCTTTCATTTTAGGCTCCGTTTACACCTATGCAGGTATGGTGGTGCGTGCACATTTTTGGTACATCAGGTTTATGTGCAATATCACACAAAAGAAGTGCAGGAGCCTTTTTTTAAATTGTGCCCCACCAAAATGTATGGTTCTTTGTAAGCATGCATTTTGACATGCAATTTTGCATGCATACTAGCAAGGTACATTGTGCTAAAGTCAGAAGATGTCTACTATGAAAACTTAAAAATATATCTATAATATTCCCAAAAATGTGTACAAAAGGAGAAATCACACACTCATGGCGGTGTTAGAAGGTATTCTCAGTTTACTCTAAGATCGGCAAAGACTGTTACACAGTTAAGAGATAAGGTTAGATCATTTATCAGTTAGCTGAGGCAGAATACTGTATTTTTTCGCTCTATAAGATGCACTTTTTTCTCCCAAAAAAATGGGGGGAAATGTCTGTGTGTCTTATGGAGCGAATATGAAGTGGCTGGCCCAGTATTCCCCCTGTCGCTGCCATGTTAGAATACCGGGCCGGCCGCTCGGTTCTTCTGTGCAGCAGAACCTGCTCCTCGGTCCTGCCTGTTCCTCGGTCCAGCGGTGTCCTCACCGTCTTCTCTCCCTGGTGCTGGCATCTTTAGTGCAGCACCCGGCTGTGACAGATTGCGGCTTCACAGCCGGGTGACCACTGTGCATGCGCGAGAAGCGCTGCGCTTTGTGAATGGCCCGGCAGTCTTCTGGGACCTGTCACACGTCCCAGAAGATGGGGAGGGAGGACAACTCCGCAGAAGTGGGAGCGGGTACCTGTCAAATTCGGGTACCAGCCCCCCCCTTCCGCTCCCCAAAGGTCTGCAGTCTCTGGTCATTTCCTGTACTATGTTCACAATCTCTGGTCATCTCCTATAGTATATCCACAGTCTCTGGTCATCTCCTGTACTATGTCTGCAGTTTCTGGTCATCTCCTGTACTATGTCCGCAGTCTCTAGTCATCTTCTGTAGTATGTCCGCAGTCTCTGGTCATCTCCTGTACTATGTCCGCAGTCTCTGGTCATCTCCTGTACTATGTCCGCAGTCTCTGGTCATCTCCTGTACTATGTCCACAGTCTCTGGTCATCTCCTGTACTATGTCTGCAGTCTCTGGTCATCTCCTGTACTATGTCTGCAGTCTCTGGTCATCTCCTGTACTATGTCTGCAGTCTCTGGTCATTCCCTGTACTATGTCCGCAGTCTCTGGTCATCTCCTGTACTATGTCCGCAGTCTCTGGTCATCTCCTGTACTATGTCCGCAGTCTCTGGTCATCATCTATAGTATGTCCACAGTCTCTGGTCATCTCCTGTACTATGTCTGCAGTCTCTGGTCATCTCCTGTACTATGTCTGCAGTCTCTGGTCATCTTCTGTAGTATGTCCGCAGTCTCTTGTCATCTCCTGTACTGTGTCCGCAGTCTCTGGTCATCTCCTGTACTATGTCCACAGACTCTGGTCATCTTCTGTAGTATGTCCGCAGTCTCTTGTCATCTCCTGTACTATGTCCGCAGTCTCTGGTCATCATCTATAGTATGTCCACAGTCTCTGGTCATCTCCTGTACTATGTCCGCAGTCTCTGGTCATCTCCTGTACTATGTCCGCAGTCTCTGGTCATCTCCTGTACTATGTCCGCAGTCTCTGGTCATCTCCTGTACTATGTCCGCAGTCTCTGGTCATCATCTATAGTATGTCCACAGTCTCTGGTCATCTCCTGTACTATGTCTGCAGTCTCTGGTCATCTCCTGTACTATGTCTGCAGTCTCTGGTCATCTTCTGTAGTATGTCCGCAGTCTCTTGTCATCTCCTGTACTGTGTCCGCAGTCTCTGGTCATCTCCTGTACTATGTCCACAGACTCTGGTCATCTTCTGTAGTATGTCCGCAGTCTCTTGTCATCTCCTGTACTATGTCCGCAGTCTCTGGTCATCATCTATAGTATGTCCACAGTCTCTGGTCATCTCCTGTACTATGTCCGCAGTCTCTGGTCATCTCCTGTACTATGTCTGCAGTCCATTGGTTCAGAATATTTTTTTTCTTGTTTTCCTCCTCTAAAACCTAGGTGTGTCTTATGGTAAACTGCATCTTATGGAGTGAAAAATATGGTACATCCTAATGTATTCCTGTGAGAAAGCAGCTGGGCAAAGACTACACTAAATTGGGGCCTCTACGTATATAACTCATACAAAATGGAGTCTCTAAAATATAACTCTGCACTAAGCCAACTTTCTCAGTCAGGTGTCTTTAATGGAGCAGTCCTGCCTCCAAAAGGGATGTGCACTTTTGTGAGTTGTGGGAACATGCACAATTTTGCATGTTTCCTGCTCTGCACAAATGTGAACTTAGCCTTAAACATAATCTGCTGGTGACTGCCCCATGTGTGTGACACTAAGGCTAGGCATATATTGCTTGAAATTCATAGGTGTTCTAGCGGCAGCACCCAACTCTGTAACTTAATTTAAGAATTTACTTAGAAGGGCTCACCAAACTTTCACTAAGGTACTGTAGTTAGAAGCTGCTGTACCGGAAGTGTTCAAGGCATATAAAGGACTACTGTCATGAGTGATTAAAAAAGGATTCTACTATTGATTTCTCTCTTATGAATGCTTTTTTCTGGCTGTCATTCTGAAGTTTTGAAATTAACCACTTCAGCCTCAGCAATGTACTTGTACATCGCCTGGTTGAAGGGGTTATACCGGGATGATTCCTGTAGCCACAGGCATCATCGCAGTATATTTTTTTCAGCTGGTGATGGACTTTATTGTAAAAAGCGACCCTAGCATCTAATTAGCCGCTGGATCACTTTTACAGGCTGCAGAAGGGGGTGCATCCCCTCCTGCCTCCTTTCACCACCTTCCTGGGCTTTCCCATCCAACCAGGGAGCCCAGTACTGAATCCAGTGGTTCCACTGGCTGACCATAGAGATTACTGAGTGCCGGAACTTCCCCAACCATCTCTATAGTCTAAGAAACTGGAAGTGAAAAAGTGACATCTGGTTTCAGTCTAATGGGAACAAATAGATCAAACTAATCTGGTTTTGACCTGGTTCTTTAAAGAGCAGAGGAGAGATCTGGGGTCTATTAGACAGAGCTAGACTCTAGGCTTTGTAAGGCCTTAGGCAAAACTTAGACATGAGGCCCCACTCATGCCCATAATAGGAAAAATAATGCATAATCTTTTATATTTTACCAAACAACTGGGTATTATATTGTGTTTTTTTGCATTAAAATTCATTAAATTTTTTTTTTATTTTGTTTGAAAAAACGATGCACAAATACCATGTATCATAAACATTTGCAACTCCCACTATTTTATTCTCTAGGGCCTCTGGTTAAAAAATATGTAATGTTTGGGGGTTCTAAGTAATTTTGTAGCAAAAAATGCTTCTTTTTACATGTAGGAGAAAAATGTCAGAATTGACCTGAGGCTGAAGTGGTTAAGGCTGCCTTAGTCACAGACCCAGAACAATTATAGAGATAAGCAGATCTGACACTCTTTTAGTGCATACTTGCTCCAGGACTGGGACTGACACATGTCCAAGCCAGACACAGCCAGGCATCTGGCATTTTTAGGAGGCCTGCACTGGCAACCCCCATACTTTTCTCATGATGGAGCCACTTTAACTGCCAGGTACTTGTAGATTAATTTAAGTCTCCTTTTCTCTTTCCAGTCGTGTACCCAATATGTTATGCTTTCTAATTGATTGTTGCTTGGAAATGCCTTAATGTTGGTTTTTCCCTTATTGGAAAGGTGCATCCTGCACACCCAATTCAGTGTTCTATAGTGGCATAGCTGAGTGACAGCTACTCGCTCATCACACGCTTCCCCATGCAGACTTGCAGTGCTGAGGATAAAAGGGTGTGTGTTTGACCAAGTGGGTTAGATTTCTAAGTGTAGAGGGTGGTGAGGTGAAAGTGTGTACCTACCAGACTGTGTAGTCATATTTAGTAATAACTGCTATAACAGAAAAGGTAAGGTAAGAATTTAAAAAAAAAACCTTGAGGCTACTAATACAATGCCTTTCTCCATGAATATGTATTTTTGTGAGTTCAGTTAGTCTTAAAGCGGAAGCATACTCACCTCCACTCTAGTGAGTCAAGGAGCTCTGTCAGGAATGGACTGGCCAGCAATAGTGGGACTCAGCTGCCTTATGAGCTGCAGTACCAGGGCTGGCCAGCGGGTGCTCCCAGCAATCAGAGACTCAACCATGCAGCCAGTCAAACACCTGGAACTAATTATACTGGTGTATTTAAGGGACATTCAGACCTGCAGACTCTGCCTTGGTGTTGTGTTTTTCCTGGGCCCTGTATCTTGTTCCTGCATCCTGCTCCTGTTCCTGTCCCTGTCCCTGTCCCTGTTCCTGTCTTGTTGCTGACCCGGCTTGATTCTGACCTCTGCTGACTTCTCCTGTTCTGATCCCTGGCTTGTGACCCCGACCATTCTCTGCCTGACCCCCTGTACCTACCTGCCTGTTAGTTGCTGTACCCTGCTCGTGACCTGACTATTCTCCGCTTACTCCCCCTGTACCACGCTGCCCGCACGATATTGACCCGGCCTGCCTGACGACGCTTGCACTGTATGTACTGTTATCTGTGGGTGGTTTGGTTTGGTTCATTTGCACTGTGTTATGTTTTAGTATTGCACTGCGTTTATGTTTGTATTGTTAGTGTTAATAAATTGTTTATAACTTATCTGAAGTCTGCGTTTCCCTGCGTCAGTCACACACCTCTGGTCATACCCGGGAGCCCTGACATTACACCAAGGCCAATCCTGACCAGAAGTGGCTGCACAGGGAAGCCATTTTGGTTTGTTGATGGGAAGGATGAATCTGGATGAGGTTGCGTATTTATATCTGCTAGTGTTTGATGACAGGGAGTATGCTTATCAAACTCTGAAGGAGTATCCCCGGGATGAACTGCTAGAATGTATACGGCTCGCTCATGTTCTAGTAGATCAGGGCACAGAGTTCTCTGAGGTGCAGCCTTTGAGGTTTGTGCTGAGTTGGTTTCATCTGGTACCCCGAATGCAGGGATGAATTTTTGCCACCATTTAGTGCAGACCAGGTAGAGTCCCTGGTGTGGTTATTAGAGGATGATGTGGGTTACTTTCTGGAGCGTTATTCTGCATGTTCACCACAGGTACTAAGAGATTGTATAAACGCAGTGCAGTCTTTGGTCAGACAGGCTTTGTGTAAGCTGAGCTTTGTTCAACCCATACTGCAGACATGGACAGATTTGTTGCACCCAGCCTCAGTCAGCTTACAAAGACCCAGTCCTGCTTCTAATCTATTTCCTCAAAACTCTATTCCTGCATTCCCAACAGCTCCTCCTGCCCTGCTATCTACCGCATGTCAGTACCCTGTTCCCACTCGCTGCACCTATCCCTGCCTTTAACCCTGTAAAAAAGCCCTCGGTAGCAACTGCTCCCTCCTCTGTCCCATCCTCCAGTTCTTCTCTGTCTCCAGCTGCTCCATTCGTTTGCAGACCTGCGTTTACTTGCAGTGCTCCAGTAGTTAAAACCAGAAAAAAGCGGAAATTCTTTCCAACCAATACCATCCTGCCAGTATCCAAACCGGTGAGCCTGCCTTCCGTGGTTCAGCCTAGTGCCTCGGCACCCGCCATTCAGCCTGATGCCTCTATTCAGCCTGGTGCCTGTACCCAGCCTGGTGCCTCCACTCAGCCTGATGCCTCCACTCAGCCTGATGCCTCCACTCAGCCTGGTGCCTCCACTCAGCCTGGTGCCTCTACTCAGCCGGATGCCTCTACTCAGCCGGATGCCTCTACTCAGCCTGATGCCTCTACTCAGCCTGATGCCTCTACTCAGCCTGGTGCCTCTACTCAGCCTGGTGCCTCTACTCAGCCTGGTGAACTGATCCAGCCTGATGATCCTATTAGGCCAGTTGACTCGATACCCGCTGTTGATCCAGACGATCCGGTACCTGATCCAGTGCCCGCTGTCGAGCCAGACGATCCAATGCCTGGTGACCCGGTGCCCACTGCCTTGCCAGATGACGCGGTGCCCGCTGGCAAGCCAAATGACCTGATGCCTGGTGACCCAGTGCCGCTGTCATACCTGGTGACCCGATGCCCGCTGTCGAGCCAGACAATCCGGTACCTGATGACCCGGTGCCCGCTGTCATACCTGGTGACCCGATACCCGCGGTCGAGCCAGACAATCCGGTACCTGATGACCCGGTGCCCGCTGTCGTGCCAATTGACTCAGAGCCCGCTGTCGTACCTGGTGACTCGGTGCCCACTGCCTTGCCAGATGACGTGGTGCCCGCTGGTGAGCCAAATGACCTGATGCCTGGTGACCCAGTGCCCGCTGTCATACCTGGTGACCCGATGCCCGCTGTCGAGCCAGACGATCCAATGCCTGGTGACCCGGTGCCCACTGCCTTGCCAGATGACGCGGTGCCCGCTGGCAAGCCAAATGACCTGATGCCTGGTGACCCAGTGCCCGCTGTCATACCTGGTGACCCGATGCCCGCTGTCGAGCCAGACAATCCGGTACCTGATGACCCGGTGCCCGCTGTCGTGCCAATTGACTCAGAGCCCACTGTCGTGCCTGTTGACTCGGAGCCCACTGCCTTGCCAGATGACGCGGTGCCCGCTGTTGAGCCAAATGACCTGATGCCTGGTGACCCGATGCCCGCTGTCCAGCCAGACGATTCAATGTCTGCCCCAGTGCCCGCGGTCATGCCAGTTGACTCGGAGCCCACTGCCTTGCCAGATGACACGGTGCCCGCTGTCGAGCCAAATGACCTGATGCCTGGTGACCCGATGCCTGCTGTCCAGTCAGACGATCCAATGTCTGACCCAGTGCCAGCGGTCATGCCAGTTGATTCGGAGCCCACTGTCGTGCCTGGTGACTCGGTGCCCGCCGCTTCGCCTGGGGGCCCGAGACCTGTCGCTCCGCCTGGGGGTCCGGCGCCCGCCGCTCCGCCTGGGGGTCCGGCGCCCGCTGCCCCGCCTGGGGGCCTGAGACCTGTCGCTCCGCCTGAGGGCCCGAGACTGTCGCTCCACCTGGGGGTCCGTCCGGCACCCGCCGCTCCGCCTGAGGGCCCGAGACCTGTCGCTCCGCCTGGGGGTCTGGCGCCCGCCGCTCCGCCTGAGGGCCCGAGACCTGTCGCTCCGCCTGGGGGTCTGGCGCCCGCCGCTCCGCCTGAGGGCCCGAGACCTGTCGCTCCACCTGGGGGTCGGCGGCGTCCGCCGCTCCGCCTGAGGGCCCGAGACCTGTCGCTCCACCTGGGGGGGTCCGGCGCCGGCCGCTCCGCCTGAGGGCCCGAGACCTGTCGCTCCACCTGGGGGTCCGGCGCCCGCCGCTCGCCTGAGGGCCCGAGACCTGTCGCTCCATCTGGGGGTCCGGCGCCCGCCGCTCCGCCTGAGGACCCGAGACCTGTCACTCCGCCTGGGGGCCCGATGCCTGTCGCCCCGCCTGGGGGCCCGATGCCTGTCGCCCCGCCTGGGGGCCCGATGCCTGTCGCCCCGCCTGGGGGCCCGATGCCTGTCACCCGCCTGGGGGGCCCGATGCCTGTTGCCCCGCCTGGGGGCCCGATGCCTGTCGCCCCGCCTGGGGGGCCCGATGCCTGCTCGCCCCGCCTGGGGGCCCGGGGCCTGCTGCTTTGCCTGGGGGCCCGTGCCTGCTGCTTCCGCCTGGTGGCCCCTGCCTGGGGGCTTCGCCTGGTAATCGATTTGCCTCTGCCCCAGAGGGCCCCGCCCGATGCCCTCTGCCCGGGGGCCCGATGTGCGTCTGCCTCTGGTCCAGCCCGATGTGCGTCTGCCCGGAGTCCGCCCGATGTGCCTCTGCCCGGAGTCCAGCCGATGCGGTCGCCTCTGCTGGGGAGCCCGATTGCCGATGTGCCCTGCCCGGGGGCCCGGTGCCCGATGCTCCACCCGGGGCCTCTGCCCAATGTGCCTCTGCCCGGGTCCAGCCCGGATGTGCGGCTCTGCCCGGGGTCCAGCCCGATGTGCCTCTGCCGGAGTCCCGCCCGATGTGCTCTGCCCGGGGGCCCGATGTGCCTGCTGCCCGGGGTCCAGCCCGGTGCCTCTGCCCGCCTGGTGGCCCGATGTGCTCTTCGCCGGAAGCCCGATGTGCCTCTGCCCGGAGTCCCAGCCCGATGTGCCTCTGCCCGGAGTCCAGCCCGATGTGCCTCTGCCCGGAGTCCAGCCCGATGTGCCTCTGCCCGGAGTCCAGCCCGATGTGCCTCTGCCCGGAGTCCAGCCCCGATGTGCCTCTGCCCCGGAGTCCAGCCCGATGTGCCTCTGCCCGGGAGTGCCCAGCCCGACGTGCCTCTGCCCGGAGTCCAGCCCGACGTGCCTCTGCCCGGAGTCCAGCCCGACGTGCCTCTGCCCGGAGTCCAGCCCGACGTGCCTCTGCCCGGAGTCCTGCCCGACGTGCCTCTGCCCGGAGTCCAGCCCGACGTGCCTCTGCCCGGAGTCCTGCCCGACGTGCCTCTGCCCGGAGTCCAGCCCGACGTGCCTCTGCCCGGAGTCCAGCCCGACGTGCCTTGCCCAGGAGTCCAGCCCGATGTGCCTCTGCCCGGTGTCCCTCTGCCCGACGTGCCTCTGCCCGGAGTCCAGCCCGATGTGCCTCTGCCCGGAGTCCAGGCCGATGTGCCTCTGCCCGGAGTCCTGCCCGATGTGCCTCTGCCCGAGCCCGGATGTCCTGCCCGACATGCCTCTGCCCGGAGTGCCCAGCCCGATGTGCCTCTGCCCGAGTGCCTCTGCCCGGAGTCCAGCCTGATGTGCCTCTGCCCGGAGTCCTGGAGTCCTGCCCGGAGTCCTGCCCGTGCCTCTGCCCGGAGTCCAGCCCGGTGTGTGCCCGATGTGCCTCTGCCCGGAGTCCAGCCTGATGTGCCTCTGCCCGGAGTCCAGCCCGATGTGCCTCTGCCCGGAGTCCAGCCCGATGTGCCTCTGCCCGGAGTCCTGCCCGGTGTGCCAGTCTTTGATATCCCCGCAGTTACCAGACCCGGGCGGTGGAACATTTTGCCCAGCTAGGACTGTTTGGAGCGTCCTGAGGCCGCTCCTTGGGGAGGGGGGGGGGTACTGTCAGGAATGGACTGGCCAGCAATGAGCTGCAGTACCAGGACTGGCCAGCGGGTGCTCCCAGCAATCAGAGACTCAACCTTGCAGCCAGTCAAACACCTGGAACTAATTATACTGGTGTATTTAAGGGACATTCAGACCTGCAGACTTTGCCTTGGTGTTGTGTTTTTCCTGGGCCTGTATCTTGTTCCTGCATCCTGCTCCTGTTCCTGTCCCTGTCCCTGTTCCTGTCTTGTTGCTGACCCGGCTTGATTCTGACCTCTGCTGACTTCTCCTGTTCTGATCCCTGGCTTGTGACCCCGACCATTCTCTGCCTGACCCCCTGTACCTACCTGCCTGTTAGTTGCTGTACCCTGCTCGTGACCTGACTATTCTCCGCTTACTCCCCCTGTACCACGCTGCCCGCACGATATTGACCCGGCCTGCCTGACGACGCTTGCACTGTATGTACTGTTATCTGTGGGTGGTTTGGTTTGGTTCGTTTGCATGTGTTATGTTTTAGTATTGCACTACATTTATGTTTGTATTGTTAGTGTTAATAAATTGTTTATAACATATCTGAAGTCTGCGTTTCCCTGCGTCAGTAACACACCTCTGGTCATACCCGGGAGCCCTGACAAGCTCTTTGCCTATCATTGACATCTTTGGCTTCTTGTGGGTTCTGGTCTTTGCCCGTTTTTCCTGGCTGGGCCAAGATGACATCACCATGCATGCTTTAGTGTTCATTAATCTCGACAGATGACAAAATTGTAGTATAAGCTGCACATGCCTGCCTGTCCCCGTTTTTTAAAAATAAAGTTTCACTTTAGTTGTTTTGCTCCTGTGTGTGACCACTCCTTTTTAGAACTGTCGTACTGAGCAGACCTTTGTGCAACCAGGTGCTTAGCTAAGAATAAGGTTGAGAGAAACACTGGTTGCAGCTGCTTTCTGTAGCTGATGCCCTGTGATGCTGACTTGCTTAACAGCTTATCAGCAAGAGGAGGGAGCTGCTTAGCAGAAGGAGTTCAATTGACTGAGTCAAGCAGCACTGCACTGTGGGAACTGAATTCCAAAGGAGAGAGACATTACTGTGTAATCTAGAGCCTTTGAAATACATTTATAATTCAAAGAAGGGCAGCATATACCTTATCCATATAAAAATTACACATTTTTTTATAAATAAGGAATGCGCTGAACTTCTTTGAATTATAACTTTATAGATATCTAGTATCAAGATATTGTACATTATACTGTGAACTAGCTCAGATTTTATTATTTTCTACTTTGAAATACACTCCCCAGAGAGAGATTGCCAGGAGAAGAGGATTTTCTCAGGCTGCATAGGACATGGCTCCCTCTTGCTGCTAGAGAGACCAGAGAGTGCACATCACTGTCCAGTGTGCACCACCACTGCAGCATAACGGCGACCTGAACAGACGTCTGAGTCCAAGTGTGCTGACAGCCAGAGACTCCTGGGTGCAGAGCAGAAAGTGGACTAGTCGCTGTGTTTAACTAGATGCTGAGCTGCTGCTGTGAAGATTTACTATCTGCTGCTAGAGAGACTGTTCACTTTAGGAACTGACCATACAGCCAACTAGTAGTCCTATTACTGCCTGCAGACTTGACTTGGACTTTTCTAATGTACACCAATGGTACAAATGGGCCCCAGCACTAAAAACTGAAAAGTTAGGACTAAAGACTGTCCACTTACAGCTGCTACAAAGAGACCCTTTACCTATACCTACCTATTTATACTAAGAGGCACCTCTCAGTGGACATTTCACCATATCCTAACTATTCTCCTAAAGTGCACTCTAGACTAGTTATAGGATTATTATTCGCATTGCAGATAATGCTTATATGCAGTTTATTGTTGACTTTGCTAAATTCATTAGTTAATTCCTGTCACATACCTGATGGGAGACTGAAATGATGAGGTCGGCCTTGTGGCAAACTTGCTCATCAGAATTGGAGCGGAGTTCCCCCTCAACCCTCGTTTTCATGTTCTATCTGTTTATCTGAGGCATTTCTCAAATCACTCCTCACATCCCCCCTGCATTCCTGTGAGGCAAAAGGTTATCTTCTGGCAGATGGTGTGGGGGGACAACCAGGAAGACATGAGAAGTGGAGCCATCCAGTCTGCAAAAGGTGTCATTTTTATTATCACCCAAAACTATGTAAAGCCCACTCATTATCAAACCGACCAGAATAAGTGCACAGTCCTGAGGTCAACTGTATGGTTCATATATCACGGGATATGAGCTAGTAATTTAGTGTAGAGTTCCCCAATGACCACTCCCAAAATGGGTAGTCAGAGCCCCCCTTCCCCTGAGAGGGACCCTTTAAGACTTTTAAGTGAGTTAGAGTACACACACACACAGGGATCTCCCAGCAAACATCGTAACAAGGGGAGATCAAAGAACCTTTCGGCTCACAACCTTGAATTTGCTAAAACCAGGCAAGGCAAGTAAGTAACTTACCCTGTATTTTCTCGCTATTCTATGTTTGCTGTGTCTTTATATACATATATATATATATATCTTGTGATATCTCTTTGTTCATATTTATTTTGCATCCCCGCTTTTAGTAATAAATCTTTCTTTCTGAAAGTGTTTTTAAACTGTTTCTAAGCGCTTACTTCCAATTCACGAATCCCTGCCTTTGAAGAGACGTTACTGTTTGTTTGTTATATATCTCTGTATAGTAGGTCTGCGGGCCGTGCTATATAGATCAATATTTCAATCATTATAGTGTATATTTGGTAACGGGAGTTTCCCAGTCTCCGACAAAAGTGGTGGTGGCAGTAGAGGGTTAGTTGCGTAACTGACCCAACCCAGTAACAAGCGCATTCAGGCTGCAGGCACCGATTGTAGTCCAGCTGGGTGGGGCCTTGTTACGCACGTCACACCGCAGTTTTGGATCGGCTGGCCCTTCGGTCACGAGTTTGGTGAGAAGGTCTGGGGTCTGACGCCGTAAGCGTGACGTATTACTGTTAGTCGCGGCTGTGCGATTGTCGCCTGTTGGTGGCGGTGACCGCGGGTCGTGACAGGCCTCACTTGTGTCACTAGCCCTGACCCCACTGGAATTGGAACAGAGGGTGTCTAGGGACCAGGGGGTCAAGAGCGCCAGCAGATGTTGTTTACAGCTCTTGCAGGTGATGACCTTGGAAGACTGATGATCCTCTGATTCAGGCACAGTGGTAACATGCAGAGCTGGTTTTGTAGATCGCCAGGTGTGCACCAGAGCAAGGCAGGAAGCAGGGATGGGAGACAGGAGCAACGTCATAGGAATAGCCAGGGTCATCAACAGGTGGACAGCAAGGTACAGAATCAGAGGCAAGCCGAAGTCAGGAGCAGAGCCGAAGTCAGGAAACCAGTATCAATCAGGAGAGTAATCAGAGTCAGGTCAGGAACAAAGCCGGGTCAGCAAGAAGGGAATCACACAGGAACAAGCAGGACACGGTGAGCTGAAGACCAGTCAGCACTCAACATGGGCAGAGACAACCCTTTAAATAGTCTGTCTGATGCCAATCTTCACCGTGCGTGTGCACGTGTGCGTGCGTGTGTGTGCGATCGTGCATTTCCACGCGCGCATGCGCACAACCGATCACTCTTCTCCGGACGTTTCTATGCGCATTTCTATTCACAATTCGTCTCACCGGAAATCCCTTACAATTCCAGTCTAGTGGTACAAGTTACCTTGACTTAGTGATTATACTGTTTAGTGGACTGTGTCTGAACCTACCTTCTGTTCATTCATTTATGCTCAAACCAGCATTTATTCCAACCCATACCAATATATTGAGTTTAATTTACCACTAAATGGTCTTGTGTCTATTTCCTGGTGCTAATTCACAGTTGAGTTAAAGAAATCTATACTTGTGTTCTTAGGAGTGCTTGCAATAACTTTCATTCAGAGGGACTGAGGTCATTCTTGAGTCAAGGAGCAGAACAGAGAACCTAAATTACCAAGCAGCTCTTGCAGGGGTAGCATCATTAGTCATGAAAAAAATAATCTTGAAATACACTTTTGGGAACTTTTCATCATTAACTACTTTGTCATTCAGCACAATGTAGAAGAGGAGTACAGAACAAAATTTGCCTGGGTATTGGGACTGGGTACGTTGGTTAACCTTTTCACAGGCATTCACCCACCTCACTTTCCTCCTTAACTGGGCACTTTACTTTCTTACTGAAATCCCCTTACTAAGTATTCCTGTTATCTTTTCCCAGGTCCTATTTACTGGACATCTATATCTTCCTACTTTTCCCCTCTTTACTGAGTGTCCCCACATGTCTTTCTGGACCCAATTTTACATGGCATCCTCACCTACCTTAATGGACCCCCCTTTTTCTAGACTTTCCCATTTTTCTTTTATAATGGCTGTCAATAACCCTTACACTTCATGAGCAGTCTTGCTGGTTGAGGAGGTACTTCATAGCAGTTATAATCACTAATCCTATTCCACTGATGATGATGATGATGAG